CTGAGATCTGTGTTACTTGAAGTATAATTTAGATGAAATTTCTATAAGAATTCAAGCATGTTACGATTTTGTAAGGAATGACTTATTACTGTGACTTTGATCTATAGCAATGTATATCAATGCCAAAGTTCAAAAAAATTTTACGATTCTATAATTAGATCATAATTACACTGAGAAATCATTTACTGCAAGATTTTAGTAGGATTTAATTGTTAGAGAAATTCATCGAAATTATATTTTAAGTAACAAAGATCTATAAAACACAATTATTCTCTCTAGGGACAGGTTCAAATTAAAAACTAAACGCATAAAAGCGTGTTAAACTTCTTCAACAAAAGTAAAATCTTACAGATTGCATCTTTTAATGATTTCATTTTTGTCAAAAGTTCAAGGCATTTTTGCAAGTCGTTTTTTTATTATTTTCCTAATTGAATGACGACTTAATTTCATTGATTCAAACAACTCGCTCACTTTAGTCGTAATTTTTTAATTACTCATTCAATAGTAAAAAAGCCGAGTTTCTTCTGCTCGTCATTATAACTTCATAAAGTAGTATTACGCATTGTTTCTCAGTTCATCTTTATCTATGCAAAGACATCATGAATAATACAACTATATACCAAACGACAGGAAATAACTTTTATTAACCCTAGTACTACCAAAGGGGGTCAACAATGATCCCGCTGTAGAAAAATGAAATTTAATAAAAATATCGTAGTATTTTTCTGGTTCAAAAAGTATTTAGCATTTTTCACGATTCAGGGTGTGAGTGTGAGTGGGTGTAGGTACATCCTTCTGAAATAGCCACAGCCACGCCCACACACACCCTTCTGAATCATTTCATCATCGGACGAATAGAAAATAGTATAATTTGGACAAAAACATCGGTTTGATGACGATAAAATCGTATAATAAAAGTATATCATTGTACAATGTCTAAAATAGGCTTGTTAGTACTAGGGTTAACGATGAAGATTGCAAATTTCTATTTTTCTCCTATCAAAAACTATTCAAGCAATACATAATTTTCTTTGATTTTCAAACGGATAGTAGTTTATTACTGATAAATCCTATTATAAAGGAAGAGAACTGAGAAAATTTCATATATTCATCTTGTGAATGACTTTTGAAAAGTCTTCATGGGCTGATATTCTTATTACGCATAATACTTTATTAGAAGATCAACAAAAAAAACAATAATGCAGTGTAGCCAAATGAAGGTTGTGATTCAAGAGAAAATTACAAAAAATCAATCATAAACAAAATAAGCATCTGCTTTAACTATTACAATGTTTCTCGAAATATTTTTTCTTCTTTTAAAATTTTAATTGTAGTATTAAGTGTTGTACTTGTTGATGTAAAACTGTATTGTCTTTACGCAAGATGTTCTTTTGCTCAAATAAAACCCTAATACCAAAAATTGCATTCGGTTGATTCTATAAAAAAAAAACATTTGAATTCCATTTTTTTTATTAAGAACTATCATAATACCTGTAATGAATCACCATAGGTTAATTCATACATAAAACGACAAATGTTTTGCATGCACACACTCTTGTGGTATGATGTAGCAAAAATGCACGAAAACAAAATGCATGTCAATCAATACTTCTTAAATTATGTACTACTATACTTGAATAGTTAATATATGTTACATTATTTTATGCGCGAATGTTGATATCAATAATTGTAATGCATACTATCAACTTAAGATTTTAACCTCATCACCCTCTTAGTGAATCTCGAGAGCGATTGATAAAATAACAATAATAGAAGAGTGTTGATACCGTTAGTATGCCAATAGCATAAGTGCATCGACTAGACGCATTGCCCTAGGTAGAAGGTATTTTGACCGCACCAGCGAACATTCGGAGACATGACATGGCAAGTAACTTTTTTTATACATTTTACTTCACTAAATATTTATATTTTATTTTTTGATCACGATGCATGGTTAAGTTGAAGATTAGCATTATTTACGGAGCCAAGCTTTATGTGTTACTATTAGACGTGAGAAGCATGGCTCCGACACAACTTTTGCGCTTACTTCGTCAGAAACATAGTGCGGATCGTACTCGGATTCAATTGATCAATTTTTCTCAAATCAGAACGCATCTGATCGGACAGGGCTTGCATAGGCTCACTACCCTTTTCTATATCTATTCGTACAACAGAAGACTGGGGATCTTCTATTATGTAAAGCATAAAAAGTACTAGAAAAATCTTATGTAGTGCCATATATTTTTTGTAATTTTCAATTTAAAAATATTTTAAAAGAAAGCTCAATGGTTTTAAGAACTTCAGAAGATATTTTTCGAATTAGAAAGACCTAAAAATAATATTGACCTGAACCCTGTAAGATTCTCAGCACAAAACACCCTAATCTAGGCATATTTGGCAAAAATATGCAGCAGTAAAACTTTCAAGTTTTCGAAAACGTATTCAATACACCATATCTCCTGTTACTTCTACCGCATTGTTGCTTCAACAAAGTCTTCTATACGGGTGGATGTTCAAATGTACATGGTCGTCTTTTGAGGAGAGAGGCTATACTGCAAATAGGTAGTGGCCAGGAAAGTTACACTCTAAAAAGAAGAAGTATTTCACTGAACTTCAAAAGTTCCGCATTTTTGCAGGTGTGTATGTGGGTGTGGGCGTGGCTACGCGTCAACAGAATATCGACATCTACACCCACAGTGACAGCCACAGCCACAGCCACACTCACACCCACCCACACCCACACTCAACAGCTCGAGTTCTGTCCCCTTACTGAGACTAAGATATCAGGTCAACACCAAGGATTTTTTCTCCATATTTTTGACGAAATTATGTGATATTGGAAGAAAATGCTGGTACTTTTCGATTTGCTGAAGTAAATGTAATATTTTTAGTGCAATAGATAGTTTCGATGGTGATCTACCTATACCAGAAAGATCACTTAGATTTACCGTACCCTAGTGATTTTCTAGAGCTATCGGTTCAGAATTATACAAGGATATGGATCTTCCTCTCTGTAAAGGCTATAATGATGAAAGTTTTAGCATAGGTTTGCCCATACTTATGAAGTCTACAATAAAATTTTCAGGCCGAACGACTGAGCCTAGCTCGAGATTTGAATCGAATACTTGTAGGATTGTAATATGCCAGTTCCGTGTGTAAGCGGTGTATCGGCCATAACTTAACGAAAAAGCGTCGGTTTCTAATGAAAATTTTACCGAAGAGAGACTAAGAGCGGGGTTTTCCAACGATGGGTCGACCGGCATTGTATCCCTTTTCTAGCCAGAGATAACACAATAAGAAAAAATCCTTGATGTTGACCTGATATCTTAGCCTCAGTAAGGAGTCAGGACTCGAACTTTTGGCTGCGATCAGGACTCGCCAAGTCCTTACATCACTACAAGTTCCAAAGCAAACAATCCTGATTTTGATAGTTTTCTCCTAGGGACGGGACTTTTGTCCACTATTGTATCTGGAAGATATATAAACTGGACGCAAGAAAATAGTTCATACTGAAAAACGACAGCTGGAAAACTATTGAAATTATGATTAACAGTAGTAAAAAGTTAGCGTTAATTTTGTCATCTTGGGTGTGGATGTGGTTGTGAGTGAAATGAAGACCTTTATCTATATTCGCCCACATCTAGACAGCCTAAACTCATATATTCACATTCACACCTCCATATTCATACCTACCAGTTCACAAAGTATCTTTGTTCAATGAAAACATATAGACAAGTTTTTTTTTGAACCATTTGATGAGACTGTATTTTTAAAATGGCCATAAAATGGCAAGTGCTCACATTGCAATTTCTCAGATAATAACTTCGATGAAAGAAAAAATAATTTATGTCGAGTAAAATTATATATGCATAGGGACTTTTTCTTTGTCATCATATTTATGTTTTACTATTGAATCATTAGATTGAATACAGCAAACTGCTATTAACTCCTTTGATAGATATATTGCTTTTCTAATCTGTTCATCAAAACAGCTTCATACTTCAATAACATGCTGGAGTGTTCAATAAAGTTTCGATAAACCAAATTTGGAGATGAATCTCATTAAAACTTCATCGTTTTTAGTTAAAGTTTCATAATACAAATCAAAAATTTTTCCTACCAACAGCATCGTTTATTTTTGCTAGTTATATTGAAAGGAAAATAAATTAAAAGTGTTTTAAGAGATTAAAATAAATGTATTGCATCAGATGCATCTTAACATTGAACATGCTTTCAATTTGCATTTTATAACACTACATTATGATATGACAATTATTTGCTTTCTCGATCCCATATGCCTCTTATTTTAGTTATTTTTATGCATAAATCTCGATGAAAAAGAAATCCATTTGATTTGCATTACTTTCTATCATGACAAATGGCTGCTGATTCGATGACGAAAGTAATTGCGAAATTTCTAAATCTTTATTTATAAAATAATTCATCGCTATTAAGTTAAAACATTTTACTCATTGAAAAATTAAAAAAATAATGACGTTGTGAATTCCTTCTACATAACTGTATGATAACCTTAATGATTAAAATTGTCATTCTTTCGTTGCCATAGGCTTTTTTCGTCTTTCTAACAAACTTTGATTGTTGACTAGAGTAGTGATGCAAATGAATTCATCGGCAAAAGAACTTTCAATAAACAAAAAAAAAAGAAACAACAGAATCAACACATTGCACATATATTTTTGATTATCATGTTTTCATAGTAAAGTTCGAATGAAAATTTCCAACATTGCCTTTCTTCTTTTCTTTTCGTTGAGTCGTTGTAAACAAAAACAAAGGAAAAAATTCTTTTTGTATTTCTCAAGTTAATGTAATGTTGTTATAAATACTGCATTTCTAACCTAGAAACAAAATAAATCGAAATTCGAACTCAGCAAATTCATTAACATTTAGTCCCACATTAGAATAAACATACACAGAATATCATTCTTAATTCATTCAAGATAGCTTGTTAATATTGATGATTTGCTTTTCATTTTGTTTAGATGACATCTACACAACAACAAGGTATCTCATCTGATCGTATTTGTGGTCCAGTTGGACTCAATGTTAATCATCTCGAATGTGCCATTTGTCATGAATTACTTTGGAAACCAGTTGCCTGTCAATCATGTGAAACACCTTTCTGTTCAACATGTATTCACCAATGGATAGTCAATCATCCAAAACAGTGTCCGAATCGATGCAAAACATACATTGAACGGAAATGTCCTCCACTACTTGCTAAACTACTTTCTGAATTACAAATTACTTGTTTCTATGAATCTAATGGTTGCGACCAAGTATTTAAAAATCAATTATATTTTTAACTCTATACAATTTTTTTGATAGGTCATTCTGTATGAAGGCTTAGACAAACATGAGAACGAATGTGCCTTCCGATCTCAATTATGTCCTGGCTGTCAATCGCAAATATTAAAACTAGATTTTGAGAACCATCAAAATAACTGTTTATCAATTGAATTAACTTGTCAAGATTGCAAACTCGTATACAAAAGAGGTGAGGCTGATAAAAAACATACAGAAATCAACTGTTTGAAAGAACAACTTCGACAATTTCGAGATGAATCTATAGAGTATAAATATGAAATACGCGAACTCAATCTGCAATTAAATGAAATGTATATATTGAGTAAGTGAATAACCAAGTAGATTTGATTTTCCGTAACGACTATGAGAGAATAATGTGTTTAGATCCATTGATAACAAAAACGAGAATCACATTTGACAATTTACCTATCGGTGCCGACCGATCGCAACTGATTCCGAAAATTTACTGTGGACTCAAGTGGACTGATATTGCATATGGAAACAAATTATTTTGGAAGATAAAATGTCCTAAAAGTGGATATGTCACTTCGTTCAAAGCTGAAAGTAATCGAAACATAGCATTTTTCAAGGATGATGCATCAATTAGCGTCGAAAATCCTCATGAAAAATTTACTTTTGTTTCTGTCACTGCATGTGCTGCTTGGAACGATGATCTACACTTAATCATCGCAGGATATCGAAATTCCATAGAGGTGAACACAAATACAACAAAACTTCTTTTTGGTAAGCCACAACTTATTCTCCTTTATTGGAAAGACCTAGACAAGATCATTTTAAAATCATTTGGCGGTACTGCTCATCCTGGTAACGATGGAGCCACAGGAACTCAGGTGGTGTTAACTCAGATAACAATTATTCAACCTGATGGAAAGAAATTTTGAACAAATCAGTAAAATTTAAATTTAACGAGCTCTAACTGTCTAGGATTCACCAAGACTAAAAAAAGAGATACCTTGTAATTCATGGTTTATAATAGAAATAAACTGATCATACAACTTATGCTAGTCACTCGATTCTAATCTAATCTTTTACTTTGGCAAGATGTAAAAAGCATTTACTGCGTTCGAAAAGTTTTTTTTGTTTTTGTCATTATTTGACAATAGTTCAAGTTTGTCAGTTGCATGAAAAAATAGATCATTAACACAGCACCTGTGGTTTCACTTGAACATAATTGAAAATACTACCTTTCTACTATAACTAAGTGACTGATGTTCTTAGTAGTTAGTCCGATGAATCTGAAGTAAGTTTTAAGAACGCAAGGAGTCTGTTCCAACAAATAAAAATGAGAGTTGTCTGTATCTTGAAAAGTACAGCGTTAAATTATAAAGTTTCTTTCAAAGGTAATCAAAGTCAGAATATTCTAATATACTTGTCGAATGAGAAGTTCAAAAGTAAATTCAAACGATGCAGTTCTTTCTTTGAAATCTCTAGCTGATGGTGAGACAACAATTTTTGTTTCAGAACTCGATAGGATCCGTAGAAAATCAGTTTTCATAAGAAAGATTGTTGGAGCTTAATCTTGTTGGAAATTTCACCAAAGATGCTATTCATGTGGTAAAGTCTAACTTGAAGTTTTCAGATTTTTCCTAATATGCTTGGACACACTCGCTAACTACTTTTTAATAAGTAATCAACTGAAGGAGTCAACATTCTTTATATATGTCTATGATAGAAAAATTTCCACAGAAAAATATCCTTTGTAAAGAATCAAAGTCAAATGAAAAATGCATATGACGCTTGTTGCTTGAAATAGTCCATATAAAAATGAAAATTGACCTACAATGTCAAGAGCAGTTGTACGGAGAACACGTTGAAATACGCTATAATTGCATTTCTATACTGATACTAAAAGTATCCCTATTACAATAATGTAAAGGAAGTTAGCAGCCGATTCGAGTTTTTCGCAAAACTATTCGTCCCATTGAGTGAGCCACACCAGAGATACGGTGAGCCATAAGCAGCTCGACGAGCTCTATCGAATGGTATATTCAGATTATTTTCTCAAAGTTTAGTAGCCCAAATGAAAACCAAGACATTAATTTTTTCCCATAGAAAAAAATCGAAAAAAACACTTCTTCTGACGATTCGCTCCACAAACTGAGCCACATCCGAGTCTTCGCTCATTTGATGCAGCTCAACAAGCTCTATCGATTGGTGTATGTTTCACCTTCAGCAGAATCAAATTTCGGTGGTTAGGACTCTTGGGAGACCTGTAGCAAGACTTTGGGCGCAGATTTCATCTGAAGATTCGCTCCACAAACTAAGCCACATCTAAATCTTCGCTCATTCGATGCTGCTCAACGAGCTCTATCCATCGATAAATGTTCCACTCGAAAAACATAGAATTTTGGTTATGAAAGTTTCCGTAAAACTACCAATCGGAATGCACATCGTGTCACCTTCGATGATCTATTGTAGTTCTGGGGCCACTAATGTAACACATTTAAATCGATGGAATGGTAGAAGTTCTATTGAATAATCTATGTGCAAATATAGTTATTATTTACGGTCCTAGTGAAGAACACTCATGAAATCTATATATGTACTGTTCTTTTTTTCATTGAACAATTCGTTAGAGAATTTGAGTCAGCAACCAGTCTAAATGGAATTGGCTGTGGGTGTGGGTGTACTCTGAAAAAAATAAAGGAGGTTTGGAAAATCTTTTAAAGTTCTGTCGAGTACCCAACAACAGTACCCACTAAAAATGGTTCTGGATAAGAAAAAGAGATTCTGACAACCTTCTACAGAGCTTTAAAGGTTCTGTAGAAAGTTGTCAGAATTTTTTTTTATCAAGAACCATTTTTAGTGGGTTCTGCTGTTGGGTACTCGACATAATTTTAAAAGGTTCTGCAAGCATCCTTTCTTTTTTCAGAGTGGGGTATGGTATGGGTGTGAGCGTGAGTTTGTGTTTCGATGCGGGAGTAGGGTGGGTGTGTGTGAATATCTCACCAAAAATACACACACACGCACACCCCCACTCCTGTACCCACTCACGCCACACCAACAGTCACTCTCAACGAAAAAAAACAGTACATATATAGATTTTATGAGTGTTCTTTACTAGGAACGTAAATAATAACTATATTCACACATAGATTATTCGATAGAACTTCCACTATTCCATCTATTTAACTGTGTTACATTAGTGACCTAAGAATTGCAATAGATCATCGAAGGTGACACGATGTGCATCCCGGTTGGTAGTTTTACAAAAACGTTCATAATCAAAATGCTGGTTTTCGAGTGGAATATGTATCGATCGATTGAGTTCGTCGAGCCGCATCGAATAAGATATGGTTCAGATGTGGCTCAGTTTGTGGAGCGAATCGTCAGACGAAATCCGCGCCCAAAGCCTGGCTACAGATCTTCCAAGAGTCCTAACCTCCAAAATTTTATTCTTCTGAAGATGAAACATACACCAATCGACGGAGCTCGTTGAGCTGCATCAAATGAGCGAAGATTTAGATGTGGCTCAGTTTGTGGAGCGAATCGTCAGAAGAAAAGCGTTTTTTCGATTTTTTTTTTCTATGAGAAAAAATTAATGTCTTTGTTTTCATTTGGGCTGCTAAGCTTTGAGAAAAAATCTGAATATACCATTCGATAAAGCTCATCGAGCTGCTTCTCGCTCACGGTATCTCTGGTGTGGCTCATTCAATGGGACGAATCGTTTTGCGAAGAACTCGAATCGGCTGCTCAGTGGCGAATCTAGAAAATCAGTGAGGGGGTGGCGGTTTACCAGAGGGGATGGCGATCATGGTCAAAAACTGGTTTTCAAAGCCTGTTCGAGGCAACTTAACTGTCTTTATGTTTATTTCTGCTGAGAAAAAACGAAAAAAATTCTCAGGGGGATGGCGATGGCCGGTTCGCCGAACAGGTGGATTCGCCAGTGCTGCTGCTAACTTCCCTTACATATTACAATAAACGATCTTTGGAGACATTTTCAATAATAATTCACTTTTAAGATTCTCGTGATACATAACAAAATAATCTATATAATGCAACTTGCCAGTGGTTGTTAAAGAGAATTCTGAATGAATTAAACTAAAAGTGAAATTGTATTCAAGTTGAAAAATAACAAACTTTTTCGGATTCAACAAGTCCGATAATACAAATTCGCTCACCTATATAAGCATTGAATATACTTTCGATTCTCATTTTATTGAAATCTAGTCAATTGCATCTATTTTAATAGAATCTTGAACAGTTTTCGATAACAAATTATTGTAAGCGGCCTGTAGATATAGTTATATGATAAGACTGTTGTAATACAAGTAGACATTATAAATACAGTATATACGACGAATTTTTCTTTCACGTGCTGATTCCCAATAACCCATCTATACAATAAGGATTGATATTATAATCTTAGACATAGTTTTGATACGTTCATCAGCTACTTTCAAAACTCCAACACAAGAAATCATGAAATTTTATTACTCAAATAGTAATAATGGTATAGAGTCAAAACGACAAAATGTACATGAAGAAACAGTTGACTGAATAATGTTTGAATCAATAAGAGAAGTAGTATATATTTGCAATAGCAATAAAAGTAATTAATATATTTAACGCAATGCTAAAATGAGAAAATAACTACAAGACTGAATGAAGAGATGTTGCGATCAGTTAGCGTTTACATGCTACCTAAACAGTTTAGGCGATGTCTCATTAATACGTTGATGCCTGGCATTCATGAAAAATCCTTGCAAAGAGAAAGACTGATCTTTATGCTAGATTGGAACATTCAATGAATGGATGATGCAAAGTCTTTTTTTGAAAACGTGATCGACCAACTACAATGAAGCATTTTTTTGAAGCGAATATGTACAAATGAGAAATTATTTCAAATTCGGGTTGATATTTTTTGAACGAGTTTCTTCATTGTTCAAGCGAATTCGACTTGAGATGATCTTACACACGACATTACCTCATTTACTCTCTTATCGATCAACGAATTCAGTTCTGAGAACAACAATTCCAACGTCAGATATGCCTGTAGGTTGCGAGTATGCAGCGAGTATCTAATTTTCTCTCCACCCATACCCTTAGTTTTGTCGAAAATATACGTGACTTACACAACTGTTGATTGTTTATCAATTATTTATGCTTTAAATCAATGAAAATCACATATTTGTTGATTTTTTTGCATTAAATGGCCCCACATTTCTTTTCTAAGTGATGAAAAGCGCATGTTTCCAACTGCCTTTATTCTCAAGATATTGAAAAAATACAGCGAAGTGCATTGTATTTTGACGTCGATAATGGCAAAAGTAATAAATCTTTATTACTTGTTTGATCTTGATTACGATTGTGAAATAAATCATATTGACGATCATATAAAAATAAACGATTAGAGTCTAAAAGATGAAAAAGATTTATTTATTGTTTGGTAACATATCATTAGATTCAATTTGATTTATATTGTATATTTCAATAAATCCAATGAATCGTTTATCATTCGAAGAATTCAAACGATCTATCGTATACATTCATGGGTTTGTTCTTGTTGAGATAGAATAAAATTGTCTATTCAATTTACTTGTAAATATTTATTTCCAATAAAATTTTTATTATTTTTTTGTTTTATTAAATAACAAGTTATTTTAATTGTATTTATTTGAATGTCTATTTGTTCTTATTTATAATTTTGCATAAATGAGGATAAACCAAATAAATCATTTATATAATCAGCATAAAATTCATTTTCCAAAATCAGATCAATACATTTTTATGCTAAATTTTTGAAATATTTAGTTTCAGAATTAATAAAACCATTCAGCTAGATTTCATACTTAATCGTTCGTTATTGTAAATAGATCACAGGTACGAATAATTAATAAACTATATGATTTCGTAAATATTCATAATCAACTAATAGACCAATGTTTTTTGAAGATAAGGAGTCAATTAAATATATGGGCGAGAAAGATATTCATCGAGAAAAACAAGAAATTGATTAAATTTATTGGCGCTAGCAAGAAAAGGTCAACTATTCATTGACAGAGAGAACTATTCTGTACCCACATTAATTTACCTAGTCATACCAACCTGGTGCCAGCTAAGGGGGAGCAGTATTTCCAGCAGGCTTGCAACTCGAGATCCCCTCTATTTCGCATTCGAGAGAAAATTGCGAAAAAGTAAACGTGTCAACAGAGATAGGCTTCCAAATTTGGTCATTAGAAGAGTTGAAAGAGTTTTCTCAGAAACTCAGGATAATGAGACTGTTGGAGACTAACCAAAAATTTTTGTAGATTTCGACTTTGTAAGTATGAGAGTTACCTTTAAAGCGACGGTATCAGAGAGAGTCCGCAAACAAAAACCTCAAACAAATCCCGCTTGAAATCATTCATTCTATCATATTAATCGGGAATGTTGCCGAATGTTATTTTGCTTACCTTTAAATGTGCTATTATGAGGCATATATTTTCAGTTTCGGTACTTGATATCTCATCATATTGAAAATACGTAGATCTACGTAACTCGATATTCTCTAGAGTATGCGAGGGCTCTAGTTTCTAATAAACTTAGAAGATTTTTCTGATTGAATATTTTTTATTGGAGTTTTCATGTCTAGAAAATGGCTTCGCCACTCGAAGTTTTACAGATAGATTTATTATTCTAACTTTTCTATTTTGAAAACAGCAGTTCCTTTGACAGGAAGATGTCTAATACTTGTTTATTATACGATTTTGAGCTGCACAGAAGAACGAAGTCTACAGTTTTCCAGCATTTTGAATTTCAACTGTTCGAGATGTAGTGATTTTACATTCTATATTATGTTAACACTTCCAGAATGAATTTGAATTTTTATAAGAAAGATTACGTTGACAGTACCATGAAATCAATCTTTTTCTTGTACTGTGATCTTCAATAGATCAATGACAAGTAACCTGTGATGTTCAAACGCCGATATTAAATGTCTTGAACTTTTTAAAAACATCCAAAATCAGACTGAGAATGTGAGAGAAAGAATTATGTTTCTTGTCAAGTACACCATTATCTTGTTATAATAAAAATTCTTTCACCAATGTCAACCTTCTGATATCGTACAAATGGAGTGTTTCTTTATCACTGTTGACATAAAAAGAAAGTAGCTGTGACAACTTCAAGATTGATCTTTCTCTCTGTCTCCCCCGTTTTTTCGTTCGAAGTACAGAAGATGTAAATAGAAGCTTCTGGATGCATTAAAGATGGAAAAACAATATTATCGTCGCTCCATCTATAAAAACCCGTGCACAGACAAAGTGCATACATAATTGTTTAGTCTTCTGCACGCTATTCACTGGTAAGAAAGAGTTTCATTTCCAAACAGAAACAACCGCATAGCTGCTATTCAAGTTACAATAGAATTTCACGTTACCCCTTCGAAATTAGAATATAGAGTTAGATCGTGTGTATAGATGTGTAACCGAACTAAATTTATTATCAAAAAATACAGGAGAAACTTCAGAAAGATATTTGAAGTGAGGATGCAGATAGGCTCTTTTATGACGATATCAACATCTCCCTACCTGATAATTAATACTTCGATCTCATACACATCCTCTCTGAGATTTATGATAAACGAGTTGATTTTGTTATCTTATCTCTTAAAGCATTCATTTTCGCGAAGATACATATCTATATTTAATATAGGGTTTGCTGATATTATAAAAACAGTGTGTGAGCATAATCACCAAAAGAAAATAGAACGATGTATTGGCAATTCTTCTCATTCTTCCTGCTACTGAATGAAGTATTTGGAAGAGTACCGATTGAGAACTTCGTACCCTTTGGTAGTATAAATGGTGATGCAATGATGCCACGCCCGTTAGATTCCGTTACGCCACCCATTAGTATCAGTATTCGTTTTCCATTTTTTGGTCAATTGTACAACGTCATTAGAGTATATAGTCATGGTTTAATTCTTTTCGGCAATATCACATACACTTTACCACATTCGCCACCTGGTCCATTTCCATTGCGTGATTTTGTATGCGCTGCTCCGTATTGGGCTGATACAGATCTTACTCAAGATTCGTCGAGCAATATCTTCTATCGAGAAGTCACTGATGAGAACACATTAATTCAAATTTCAAATATGATACGTAATGGATTTCCACATTTATCCGCTCATCGTATGTTATGGGCATTTGTGGCTACATGGGATCGAGTTCCAGGACATCAGGCAAATCCAGGTCGAAATACCTATCAGGTAACTTGCCATTGTTTTAAATTACATATTGTGAACTACTGCATGATAAAAAAATCGATAAATATAGTTATCTTTGAAATAATCTGTGATAATTTATTTCTATTTTTAGGCTATCATAGCAACCAATGGACTTTATTCATTTACGATGTTCCTATACAATCAATTACAATGGTCTGCTGGCGCATGGGGTGGTTATCCTCAAGTTGGTTTTAATGCAGGAGATGAAGTTAACTATTTTACTTTGGAGAAATCTTTTACAGCTGATGTCGTTACTGTGGTCGAGGATTCGAATGTTGGTGTCCCTGGTCAATTTTTTTTTCTGGCGAATGGTAATATCAGCGGAGTACAATGTAATTCAAGTCAAGGTTTGCAAAGTTCACCTTTTCGGGGTTCAATGCATGGTGGCTATCAATTGCGATTGTTTGGCATCTGTTTTCAGGAATCATCCAGCACGGTTGAAATCAACGGTAATCGAATCAACGATTGTCAACTTAATGCGATTTATATAATATGCACAATGCCTATGGTATCCGAAGGTCGACTTCAGATTAAAGTTTTTGACGCTGAAAGAAAACTGATCGGACAAACAGAATTTTTATCATTTATGCCAGAAAGTAATGCTGATTTAATAGTGAGCAATCATGGTGAACTTGATAATGCACTTTTCTTGCTGGAAGATCGTCGTTTAACTTTACATTTTTTAAGAAATGCTCTTACTACAAACTATTTATTTCGCCTTGTGATCTATGATTATAGTACTCAATACATAATAGGAAATGATACATTGTACAATGTAGAAACGAAAAAAGTTGATATTGGCCTTGGTTTATTGAATCTGTCTGCTTTGAACAATTTAACAATCAATTTTCAATCGGTTTTTCCCATTACAGGTGAACCAAGAGATCGAGTTCATTTGTTGGATATCTCTTTTGAACTCATTCTACCAAATACAACATTACCAACAGTTTCATGGAAAGGGGTACGAGAATTCATTGTACGTTCATTTATTGCATCCTTCTCATTAGTTTCATCCTATTGTTCAGCTTGGACTGCTTTGCAATCCGATACTAATACACGTAACTTGACCAATCTAGCTCCTACATGTCCATGTCGGATGAGAACAACATGGGATGATGAACAGTTTGGATTTAATACTGATTTAATATGTAGTGCACGTAAATCAGGAATGTGGAACTGTCGATATCATCGAGGAGCAAGAGGATGTTATCGAATGAAATCGACAAGAAGTGAAGGGGGTGCACATTGCTGTTATGATAACGGTGGTATAATGATTACGGATAGGAGACGAGGAGGTGGTTCATTGAAAGCACATTATCCTGAAACTTTGAAAGCATTATCTACCTATCGACATTTCTTTTCTGATCTTCTTCCGTATTATTCATGTTGTGGTACTTCAAGTGAAATACTTCCTAATTGTCAACACTATATAAGATATCGCCCTTCAGGTACATGTGTCAATTTGATACCGATACAGACAGGTGGTAAGGGTGATCCACATTTTTCAACATTAGATGGGAATTCGTATACATTCAATGGGCATGGTGAATATACGTTACTCAAATCGATTGACAAGCAATTCGAAATTCAAGTGCGACTTGCTCCACTCGTCAATGAATCGGTCAGTCCTACATCGATGAATAATGCGACAGCTATTATTGCATTTGTCATTCGTAATGAAGATCAACCACGTGTTCAATTTGAACTTTTTCCAAAACTACGACTAATAGAAATTCGAATAGATGAAAAATTATTAGAATTTACACCGCTCTCTGAACAAGATGAACTTTTATCTTCATCGTTAATCTATACTGATGATCGTCAAGTGATCATTCGACAAAGTGATGTCAATAAGTACAGTATATCATATGGTGAAAGTGGAATTCAATTTATTGTCGATGTTCGACCACAGTTTGATTTTCTCGATTTAATCTCTATCATACCTAGTACATTCAAAGAAAAGCGAAAATTTCAAGGTATACTCGGTAGTTTCGAAGGTCTCACCTATCCAAACGGAACAAATGTAACGGCAAATTTAAATGACGATCAAGTTATGTTTAGTTATGCTGAAATATGGCGTACAACCAGTACATCATCACTTTTCTATTATCTTTTGCAAGACAGTCATGGTCAACACCAAGATTTAAATTATCGTCCGACGTTTCAGCAAGACCTTTTTAGAATGTATGCTAATACAAGCCGATTTGAAATGGCCAAAAATGTTTGTCATAATATAAGTCGTGAACAACAATGTATTTACGATGTTTTGATTACTAATGATCCTACTGTCAGTCAAATGCATCAAACTTATGAAACGACTATACAAGCATTAAATGAATACGTTGCGTTAGTTATAATAGATATAGAAAATGATAAAAGCACGTCAACAGAAAATGACAAAACCACATCAATAGAAATTGATAAAACTACGTCAACAGCAAATGATAAAACTACGCCAACAGTGAATGATAAAACTACATCAATGGAAAACGATAAAACTACATCAAGAGAAAATGATCAAACTACATCAACAGCCAATGATAAAACTACGCCTGCAGAAAACGATAAGACCACGTCAAAACTAGAGAATGCGGCAGCAAACTATTTTGGGAATGAAATCTGGAAGGTGACTCTTTTAGCACTGATCGCTGTGCTTCATTAATTATCAACATACTTGACTGAGGATTTTCCTGATACGAACAACATTTCTCTGACATATAAAGACAACATTTAATTCTTCTCTATAATTAATTTTTCTATATCAAACAGCAGTTCTGCAATAATTAAAAAAAGACTAGCTCTCAAACTGACTACTTGTGAAATGAATATTGAATAGAACTTGCCTCGTTTTTAGCATTGCATCAAAGGTCATTTTTTCGAGCAATGCAAATCAAAGCGTAACGTGGATAGATTATCATATCGAAAAAAGCGCAAAAAGTCGTCGATTAATCACGGTTCATCCACATTTTTCTCATTGCCACTCATTTGTTTTTTACAATCAAACCTGTATTTCCATGCTTCGTTTTAACTTTTCCAATTTATAAAAATTGCTGTTTTTTTAAAAGAAAAGGTAATGGACAGGCAACGTGAGCAAAATTTTGGCAGTTATTGTTGTTGATGCATAACGAAGAAGAGAGAGAGAGAAACACGAAATATTTGCTCTGTTTAATCAAAAATGATTATTCGAGCATCTATCTTTCGTTACATTATTCTCTATTTTTTTTGCGTCACTTTTTCATATGTTGAGTAGTCAATGGGAGTGTGGATATGAACGAATTCCTTCACTTACTTGCATCCACATCCTACCATTTCTCAAATTTGTTTCTTGCGATAATGTTCAGGTTTGTTTGAATGAATTAAATCAAAATACAAAATTTATCAACAAATTAATTCATTTTTCAGTATGTTCTGCTTTGATAAACATCAATGACTGTTGTTTTCTTATATCACTGCGGTTCCGCTTTCGGATCCAACATGATTTGGCTGTATACTTTGTTCTATACTTTAGGCGACTATACTATCTGTGTCAATACTGCATCGACATTGATTTGTCGCCATGAGAGTGATTACTGGTTATACAATTGTGTTCATCATTTACGTTACAATCTGCTGATAGATCGAGAGGGATTGTTCGTCGGCTAGATATTAAGAGCATAAGTCAAAATTTCACTGAGAAATGGTTCAATGATGAAGAGTGCATCCAATTGTATGACTCACCACTTGTCATGCACTTTCAAGTGCTGAAAATTCTAGTCGATAATCAAAAGAATAGTCTATCTTCGAACATTGGATGCTGTGTAAGCAGATATCAGTCAGAATTGCTCATCGACTTAATATGAACTTACTCGATGGTCAAAAGATCAGTTGTCATCCATTTGAAAGATTGAAAGACAGTTGAAATCTATTCGAATACAGATTCGTCCATAATTAAAAGATAGCTCGATAGACATTTGATTTTGTAAAATGAATCGCAGAGAAGGATTTTTTAATGGACTGTAAACTGTGATATAGGAGTGAAGCCAAAGCTAAGTCTCAGCTGCTAGATGCATTAATTATAAGATTGTATAGATGTCTACAGTCTGTCAGAAATTTTTTTCTACATAGCAGAGTTTTTCCTATGAGTAATCATATACGAAATGGAACTAACATGCGAAACTCACATACAAATATCCTAAAGACTACAAACTTTATAGCTGCAGTAATGTCTTTAAAAATAGGAATAGAATGAAACTAATGCATTTTTAGTCATTTCCTACACTTTTCAATCACCTAGATGCTCTTATTTTCTTCTTTGATTGTTTCTATGTGAGATCCGCCTTAGTAGTACGAAGTCAAATAATTCCACAGAAAAGTCTTCTTGTGAAACCGAGTGCCAATTCGTCTTATGCGCTTATTTTGAACACAAGAAACCATCAGAATTTATTAAGACAAAATTGACACAAGTGGTAAATAAATCGACGAATTACTACACGTATTGTCGACTGATTCGACTGAGAAGAATGTTGATGTACGTATTCTGCTTATTTTCCTTCGAATGCACGCTGACCTTCTTCTCACTAGAGAATACAGAAAATTTACACTGATAAAACGTCTAAATATGATAAATGCAGTCTCACATCCAACTTTGCATTGTATCAAAAGTACAGCGTAATCGATAATGTCGACCAAGTAGATGTTGATGTAGTTGATGTCGGAATAAATGTAGACAACGAGGTGTTTTAGAAAAGGCTCAATAGGCAAATCTAATATGAAATGAAACAATTTGTTGTAAATGATCAACACCAGAATAAATAAGGTTTACAGTACATTTCGTAGGTTGAATTTTATCATCAAAAATGCGTGAACGACATTAGATCCATCAACCATTTATTTGTTTTATGAAACAATTACATAATAGCTTATCACACTCACGTGGTTTAATATAGATAAGATGAAGATGTTGAAGTAATATTGTCTGATGGAATTTCAGAGACGCTGAAATGAATGATCATTCACCAACAATGTAACTTAATGTCATACGTAACGAGACAACATGTCATCTTACTAATTTCAAAACATTTTGACAAATATTATTGAACATCGATAATGACATTATATTATCATCAATATGAATGTACCACAACTACTCATATATCATCATTCTTGATAAACGTTTATTCAACAATGAAAATGATTGAAGATAATCAAACATGCTGACGCCCATCTTTTTGACTTGTTTGTCTTTATTCAGTTTTATATATACTGACATACACAAAATATTATACAGATGTGGGTGTCTTTGAATGAGCATTGTTTTTCAAATTATAATAATTTAAACTATTCTGCAATAATTATTGAAATGAAAATAAAATAAATATCTGTTCCAAAATTTAATTCTTCTTGACAATAAAAAAAGTACATTAAAACGTATATAAAATTGAACATGCTTCAATGATTAAAAGCCAAACATAACTAGCGTGTTACAATTTCCAAACGAAATTTTAATCATTCGAAATTCTAACCCATAGATACCTAGTAGAAGCATACAGATCTATGGTGTAATTTTCATTAGATTTCGGAGGTGTGCATATGACAGTAGAACCGTGAATATTATTTGAAATCGATCGAATATCATACGTTATAAATACTAGCTGTTGAACGTATGGGATTGGGAATAGATCTTCTTCTCACTCACACTCTTTGTCTTATCATCATCTAGAAATTCAAAAGAAAGATTTGTACTATTTCGAATTCAGTTTAAACTTCTCATTCGATTACAAAAGCATGCTTACGTTTGTCTATTCGTGCTCTTTCATGTTACCTTTTTATTAATAACAGCTCTGAAGAAATGTCTCTAGCGCTAATGTTTTCAGGGTATCTAGAACAACTTCACATAGATATATCATAGAAACATCAGTTCTAGTAAAATTCATAATCCCGAAATATACGTGTTTCAATTTTGTGACGTCACGTCGCTAACAATATTGACGATAAGTCTGTTGTCTTGAAAGATTTTTTTCTTTCATCCTGACAAAACAAATTCAACATCTTGTATTTAGGCGCACTATTTGCTCTGTCGGCGAACCTCTAAAGTACCCACAATCGTTATTCAAATAATGGTTGCATGAGAGCAGTATACAACTTCTAGATAAATATCACTTAAAAGTAAGTCAAATGCAGAAAGAGAAAAAAAAATATCGATTGTTGAAGAAAGCTTTTTCTTTCTTTTAGTTTTTTTTACAATAACATACAACAATCAATGCTATTTTTTTTGGATGTTGTAGCATAAAAATGTGTTCGATATTTTGTTCAAGAAAAGGTGATGTAATTGAACCAAAATCAGTACCACACTACTTATTTCGACAAGTATGAATAAATGAGATGTTTGTTGTTTTTCTTCATAATCAATGTTGATTTTTATATTTCATTAATAATGAAGTTATTTGAACATCAATCTTCAACTTATACATATCTGTTGGCTGATTTAACAACTAAAGAGGCTTTAATCATTGATCCTGTTGTTAATACTGTTGAACGTGATGCGAAACTTATTGAACAACTTGGTCTAAATTTACGATATGCAGGTACTTGAAAATTCGATTTCTCAAGCAAGAATCTATAATCATCATTGTCATCATTATTTTTTGCTTTTGTTTAGTCAATACACATGTTCATGCTGATCATATTACAGGAAGTGGAGAATTGAAAAAAAAATTTCCTAATTGTAAAAGCGTTATTTCGAATGAAAGTGGAGCTCAAGCTGATATTTATGTAAAAGATAATGAATTAATTAAGATTGGTGAATCAGGTAAAACACCAGTGATACTTGAATGTCGAGCAACGCCAGGCCATACAAATGGTAAGTATAATTTATAACAAAAAGAAACAAACATCAAAATTGAATAATAAAAACATAAATAAAGGTTGTATGAGTTTTGTTTGGAATAATTATGCAGCAGTTTTTACTGGTGATGCTCTTTTAATTCGGGGTTGTGGTCGAACTGACTTTCAGCAAGGAAGTTCTGATAAACTTTATACATCAGTCAAAACGAAAATATTTACATTACCTGATCATTATAAAGTTTATCCAGCGCATGATTATACCGGTATTTATGTTTTAGTCTTTATTTTGAAAAAAATTTCAAGTTAAATTCATTTATGCAATTATTTAGGACAGTTATACTCAAGTATACTTGAAGAAAAAACTCATAATCCACGATTGAATAAGTCACGAGATGAATTTATTCAAATAATGGCTGATCTTAAACTTAGTTATCCGAAACAAATTGGTAATAGAAATGCATTTTATTTTTTCACTAATACTCGATTTCTTTTTTAACTTATTTTTGTATTTAGATAAAGCTCTTCCTGCAAATCTTCTATGTGGTTTACAAGACGATGTTTAATATTTTTCATTCTTTTTTTTACAACTTATCTCAATACATGACCATAGTTGTGTTATCTAACTAATAGACCATATAGCTTATATTCAGAACATTTTTATCAATAATATGAGAAAAAATAATCATGAAAATGATTTCAAAGAGTTTCGATACGGCATAATCTGTTCTACAATACGTGTCAACTTGAATTTTTCAATTTTTTTCGCTAATTATAAAATCAAGCCAAAAGACAAGTTTCCTGCCTCGGTTTTTATCAGATGTCATCGGTTTTAAGATTGTT